GTTCATTGCTAAGTGACTTTTTAATAGCTAGTTAATAAAATACCTTCACTCAACAAAGACCATACTGTGTAGCTGGTAATTGCAGATTTATATGGAACAAGCTTCACTAACAGTGAGGTTTTAATTTGCAAGTGTAAAGCTCCCTCATGCATATTTAGAGGAAGAGATGCTTAGAATAAAATTAAAAGTCTTTCAATTCTCTTTATTCTTGGGCACTTATGCAAAATTATCTTGCGGAGTAAGAGGAGAATTTAAAAAATTAACTGTATTAAGTTTTTTTTCTTGAACAAGTTAGAACTTTTGGCGTACAGGCAGAACAATAAGGCAGTAGGTGGTCTCATGGGTTGGGTTCCCTGGAAACACTCAGATGGAGACTCGTGCAGGGGTCTACTGAGAACACCATCCATAAGGAAGGAAGGGAGGGAAGCAGCTCTGGGCAGAGGGAGAAGCTGAATTGTGATGCAATTGCAAGAAAGCCGTCAGCTGATCCTGCAGGGAGAACCCTTAGGAGTTGCCCCAGCAAGGTGAGGGGCTGGGTTTTGGTACAAACACATGACTCTCCCTGGATGTGGGCTGCCCCAGGAGGGTGTAACCTCATCTGGAGATGCTCCCTTAGAACAGAGCGATTCTGGGGAGAGACTTAGCAGTGAGCTGTCAGCACCGACACCCTGGGCAGCTGGGTGATCGAGTGCCTCCGTCCTGAGGGGGCATCTGAGGGGCCCATTCAGCATCCACGGCCAGCGGACTGGGGCGTGCTCCGAATGAGCAGCAGGGGGTCTCCCTTCTTTTGTTCATGAACTTATATTTTTTCATATTTATGTTAATTTGTAACTATTGCATGGACTTGGGAAGTTTTCAACCTTCTATCTGTATGATATTTTTAAAAGAATCTATTTTCCACTTAAAGAGGTTAGTTGAAATATTCAGATAATCCTATTTGTTTTTTTATATGAGGTCTTTCCCAAGTTTTCTGGGATCGTATATACGGGACTGGCAACTGACTGATAAGTGATCGATTATAAAAATACCCCAACGATGAACAACAATGGGACGTGGTTAAAGACACAGACGCAGACAAAGGGAAGCAGCGGGAGGTTTGCCACCGCTCACGGTGCAGGAGACTGACAAGCGAGGCGAGAGGAATCGTCACCTGCGGCTGGCCAGCGCACTCATGCCGAGGGATCCTAAACAAAGTACTGGCTTTGGCCACCATCGCCGACAGCTTGCATTTATGTCGACTCTGAGTGTTGCCGTTTCATGTTCACCATCACCCCTTCTCCCTTGCGCACAACTTCCGACTCAAGTAGCTCATCCTGCCTGAGCGCGCACTCTGGGCCACTTCTCTCTCACCGTGACAGGGCACAGAGTTCCCAGACGCAGCCCGGCCGGCCCCATCCAGTTGCTTCTCCCGCAGAGAAGTTCGCGGGCCTGATGGTCAGAACCCGGCCTTGCAGCATGAGGCTGTGGCTGTTGCTACCTGAGCTAGAGCCCGGTCTCCGCCTCCGAACAGAGTCACGGTGGCCTATACCTGCAGGGGTCCACCCCGGAGAGCTGACTCAGATTAGAGTCACAGAGGGTCGGGATCTTTACGGATCCGCTCTTCAGAGTGGATTCGGATTCGATTTGGGGCAGCTGTGAAGTGGTATCTGCAGCTCTAAACTTAGTCACGTTTTAGGATGACGCCATCTCCAAGCCTGAGCTCCACTCCCCACAGAAAGAGTTTACGCTGAGAGCACACGGCAGCCCTGAGAGTGCAGTTGTCCTCCCCTCCCATTGCTGCACCGCAGATAAAGGCATCTGGGAAGCCCGCCCCACCTCAGCTTCAACCCCACCACACAAGGGAAGGCCTGGTCCAAAGTGACACTGTGTGAACTCTGATTTCCTTTGGAAAAAAAAATACTTCTACTAAAATATATCCCAGATGTCAATGTTAAATGATAAATTTGAATGAACACATGTTGTTTAAATTAGATACAGTCATTTCAACTTTCCAGTGGTTACTTGGTTTGTCAAACATTTTTCTTCTCTCTACTCTTGAGGAAACACAAGTGGGATAATTTATTTTGAGGAATGAAAATTCAAAGTGTCCCCTATAAATATATACAACTATTACGTACTCATAATAATTAAAAG